TATCTAGCCAAGGTCTCTTGAGGCTGCTGCGTGTATTCCTTTATTAAACGGAGGCATTGACCTGGTGCGATGTGATCAAATCTATCTAGAAATTTTCTCTGGAAGGCTGCCCAATTGGTGAAGGGGTTATGTCCATACCACTCAAAAGCGGTTCCGGCTAACCTTCCGGGAATTCGTTCTCGGAGCAACTGGTCCGACCAGCCCTGGGCTTTCAAAGCAGCTAGCTAGGTGCAAGGGTCGGTGTCATCTTCAGAGAAAATGGGAACTTCTGAAGGAGGAGGGACAAAGTACAGGGGATGATTGGCCATCCCCACGTGGTTATCACCGTCGTTTTCACCCCCAATTCCAGGTTCCACCATCGCGGGAGGCGGGTTTCGAGCCCGGCCTCTCGCTCGGTTCTGATTGCTATTCGCGGGCCTCCATCGACGGGGAGCCAGCCTACTCAAAAATGCAAAAAAAAAATCAAAAAGAAAAAGAAAAAAAAAGAAAAACTTTAAAACAGGGTAATCGTCATAAGAAAACCTTGGAGCCGAAACGAATCAGTTTGATACCAACCTCACGCCCCCTCGCGGCTTCCCGTACGGGTTCGCCGATCAGAGTTCTAGGAGGGGCGGGGCCGAGGACTTTTGGCCGTAAGGGTTGAGTCTCCCGGACGGAACGGGAGGCCCTCGTTCCGTGCCAGAGGTTTTCCCCGAAGTCGAACTGTCATCGCGGAGTCCCGTGGGGGTTGGATCACTCCGAAACGATAAAATCAAAAAGGTTTCCGCAAAAATGAACCGCCGTCATGCATCGGGATGGAAAAAGGCATCAAGGGGAGAGGGCCATGGCGGCGGAGGACAAAACTTCGGTCGTCAGGGGTTTGGGGGATAGGCGGTGGGTTCGAAGCCTTCAGGCCTCATCATCGGCCTCACAAAGTGGCCGATTCCTCGGATCTTTGCTGTGGAGGTGGTTGGTTCGAGGCCTTCAAGCCTCGGCGTCGGACTCACAGAGTCCGCGCGAAAGTTTCTGGGAGGGTAAAGCGGCGGGAGGACTCGCCGACATCTGAATTCGAAATTGCGTGGGCAGCGCCCCCGCACTACGGGAAAGCTCCGGGAAATGTGCTCCCTCGTAACCCAGGACCAGCCGTCACCAAGAACACGAGTCCCCCTGGCAACACCAACGACAATCAAACTGCGGCCGCCACACGGCGTGAGCGGCCGACGAGGGCAATACCGCCAAACCCGTATAAGGCAATATTAGAGTCGGGGAATCAAAACCATCAATCAAAACAAAACCGTTCCCCCTTATCTCATAAGCCCGAGGCGGGTCTTGCCAACACACTTGCTCCGTTCGGCTCAGCGTGCGCCGTACGTCCGCATCGCATCGCAATAGATGCTGTCGTCATCTGCGATGGGGAAGGTCGGTAGCGAGATGAGACGATCAGAGGTACGTGATGAACACGGGCAAGGTCCCGCGTTCCCGGTCATCCGAACCAACACCGAATCCATACAACAATCGTCGCAACTCTTCTCTCCCTAAGGTGGGTGCGTCGAGGGAAGACGACGAAGTCTAAGCTCTCTCCCCTTTGCGGGGGCGTCGACCGTCCGCGTGGATGGAAGCGGTTGACGTCACCGGTACGGCGGCGAGAAGCTCAAAAAGCGATGACTATCAGTTCAAAAAGGAAAGCAATCGAGAGGGGGAGAGAGAGAGAGAGAGTGAGTTACGCCGAGACCGCGCACGAGCGCAGGAACGACCATTGAGGGGAGGGGAACAACCGGATCAACACACTCGTACTCCTAAGCAGACGGTCCCCCAGTTCAGTTTCCCCATCCCCGCCTGGACGAGTACATACACACATACATGCATCCAATCAACAAATTTTGACAGGACATCTAATCATCCACGGACCTTCGACATCACTCGTGCGCACCACCACCTCCCATCACTCGGGGCTTCACACACACGACATGCATAGACAAAGCAGCAATGGAGATAAAAGCGAGTCCTTCTTGTACACAAAAATTTCAATTAACTACCGCCCCCAGGCGCAGCCTTCAAAACTCCCCAGGACCACCGACCACCATAGCCACAAGGCCCTGCCGCGGCC